AGTGTCCCTCCTTAAACTGGACAGTAAGCACATAAATAATGTAGCATGTGCTAATTAGCACACAGCTCAAGATGCAGCTGAAGCAAACGGGAATGTGCTTAGCTTCACTGTTAACTAGTCCCGGATGCTGACATGCCAACGTATGCTAGTTAGCACAAAACCCCTAAAGTAATTGAAATAAATATAAAAAAAAAATAGTTTTACTGGAGTATGGTCATGAATGTATTTTTACACAAAAATGATTTTAACCCGTAGCCTTCGAGATTGACCGCATCATGGTGGGGGTGATGAAGGTGATGTTCCATTTCAAAGACTCCTTCAAATGCAGCCTTCTTTTCCTGAACTTCAAAGGATACATGATGGTACTATTTGGATTTATAATCAGCACCAATCCATGCGTCCATTAGAGTTTCATTTCAAAGTGAACTAATTCTGATATTTCACTATGAACCAAAGCTGGACCCTGTTTCCAAAGGCCTGATTTCTCAGGTTTGTTATGTGTGAGTCATTACTTTGCTTTACTTTCCTGCAATGAAATAATGCTGAGTCATCACAGAGACAACCACTTATTTACAGAATAAATCCCTTATCTACTGACCCCACAGGATTTACTGCAACAGAACGCTGTCTAAAGAAAGTTTCCAATTTACAGAGTTTAACTTTTTTTGAAACAGCACACATGATTTATTTTTGAATTGTATATGAGCCATTTATCAGCTTTTTGAGAAACAGTTTGTCGCTACGGGCACTCATTAAGTGGTGACAGGAGCAGTGCTCATACATACAAATGACTTTACCATTGAAGTTTATCTAAACATGCAGAGTCAGCAAATGTCTAAAGTACCCTACTTGATATGGCTGTTAAAAGATTATAGATTTCCCATACTGTAAATAAAATGCATAAATATTTGAAGATGCTCAACAGCAGCTATAAGACTACTGCACTGAACTGCATTTGTACTTGTGTTTCAGAAAGCTGACAAGGACCACTGCGGCACTTTTATGGTGATAAACTATACTTTTGGGCAGCGTGATAATCTCCGCAAAACGTTAACTTCTCCCTTTACGATTATGAAGTGTTTCCTCTGTGTTTTGCAACCTTCTCTGCCCTTTTCCTCATTGTGTCGTTTAAAAAGAACGCTGACATTTATTTTATTATGAAAAAGTGTGTCTAAAATGAATCAAATTGTAAAATAATCCTAACAACTCTGGTAAAGAAAGCCCTTTTAGAAATGTATTCACTTATTTTGATATTCAGCCTCTGTTGTCTACACAATCGCTCTCAATTATCTTTGGCAATAAATGCCCTGGAATTATAATCAGGCTGCACTGATCATGGGGACGCTGTAAACAGATTGATGAAAACCAGCTTTGACAACTCCAATCCACCCAGTTATCATCATGTGGGTTCCACATGGGCAATAAACCACAGCAGAGATTACGCTGAATCTGTTCTTGATGGGAACAACTCACTATGGGTGTAATTAAGCCTTAATATGATCTAATCTCTCACTTTTGAAACCCTGAGTCTATCAGCGATCCTGATCCACCAGCAAACCATCGGGCATTGTGGGAATGTTCATTAGTCACTGTAATTGGCTGGTGATAGAATATCTGGACCAGATATTAAAGCCAGGAGGTTACCTGCCAGGAGAAACAAGAAATTCACGTCTCTTATCTAATTCCATTATTAATAACGGCAACAATGTTTTACTGTCACTTGAGTAATTAAAAATACAGTGTGGATAACATCACTCTATCATTATTGTAGCCTTTTTGTGCACTTTTGCGGACTTCCTTTTCCAATAAGCACAAGGCAGTATAGGTAGTGGATCCTAAAAAGCATGACAACAGTCTCATTTATATGTATTTAAAGAAGACTCACAATGTGACACGCTCTTGCTGGAATGAGCAGCTGACCTTAATATATATCATTACCAATTTTATGACTCTCTACTTGTGCTTGTAAGCGGTTTATTTAAGATTCATTGTGAGGATGAGCTTTAATAGCAGAATGTGAATTTGTGAACGTGCCTTGGGTTGCTGCTTTACTTAAAGATGCACTCAAAAACTGTTTTACTGCCATGTTTTACTGAAGCAGCAAGCACGTGATGTTGTGTATTTTCATACACACGTCCCTTTTGGTTATCCTATGAACAATGGTCATTTTTCAAACTGGCTGCAGAAATGAAACTGATTTTATACACCCCCTGTGTCCTATAACCCCTTCAAGTGAGAACATTGCAGATGGATATTAGGTCACTTTCTGCATCAGTGTGGTCAGAGTCTGATACTGGCATGACCACATTTGTGATCATACTTTTCCAGGGTCTCTGCCAGCAGCCATTGCTGGATTCATTTTCCAAAACTCCATGAGCTCTTTCACTGATCAGGCCCTTTTCTGTTGGGAAATACCATGGTAACGGCGCTGGCAAGAGCTGACCTTGGCCATCATAACAAACACATATGCATAATGCACAAACACACACTCTGCTGCTGCTGCTGCTAGAGTTCCTCACCAGAGCTAGGCAATTGACATACTGTATCCCCCATGGCCACGGGGCCTCACTAGTCAGAAGTGAACAGTAATCAAAGTAGACACACAGGTCGAACTTTATTATCAACCACTCGATACCAGCTGCAAGTCCTCCAACAGACAGCACACAGGAAAGAACAATTTGGATTTTCAGACACAGGGCATGGAGGATTGGTTTGAAGCTTTTCAACTTGATCCTTTTGGATGTTGAACTGAAGTTTCAGAACTTTAAGACCGCAAGCGTGGAACACTGAAGCTGATGACCTGACAAAGGACGTGGAAATCTCGTAGGTAGGACGGGATTCATTCCCTCTCTTTCACACTTTGCTTTTCACCGTTTGTCACTGAGTCATGAAAATGGCAAGATAAACAAGCTAAACTGCACTTTTTTAATGGCTGATTTTGTAGCTGCTGGGAAATGCTAAACCTTTGTGCTAATGCACACCAAAAAAGCTGGCATCTAAAAGGCCTGTACTGTCAAAAAAAAAGAAAAAAAGAACAAAAAATCTTTGAGATTAAATGGATAACATCCTCAAAGGGAATGTATGATATTTTTATATTATTCCTTTGCCTTTGAAAAAACACTTGTTCTCACCTAGACAACTAGTTGAAAGCGAATATGCGATCATTTCATGGTGTTCTGCTCACTGAAATCTGATTAAATTACATTGTGTGGAACATGATACATTTCACAGCATGAATATTTTTTGTATCCATATTGATTATGTAACATTTTGCTTGTTTTAATTTTTTAAAGACCCAACTGCTCGTTTTTTAATCTGAACATGTCACTACGTGTACTCTTTATGATATTTAGTACATGTTTACGAAAGGTTTCCTCAACATCATCAAAGGCTAGAATATAAACGAGGCACCTATGAACTATGGCTTTCCATTATGTAAGTTAAAGTACTATGAAAAAGACAGAAAACATTAACTCCAATAACCAGTGTCACATCACTGAGGAACTACAGTAAAATGACCTGGAAAAAACAAGTTGCGAGTTGAGCAGAGAATGTCTTGTTTTTCCAGGAAATATACCAGTAAACAGTGCTGTAATGTTAATAACCTCCAGCAATTGGCATAAAACAATTTGGACATTTTCTGGGCCAATCAATATTTGCAAGCATGAAACAACTTACACCCAGTGCTTAGATTAACCTTACCATAAAATGCTATTCAGGCATGAAGAGATCATTCCACAGCCAGTAAATGAAAAATTATTACCACTCTAACAGAAAAAGCAGGTAATATTCTTTGGGCAGACAATGATGTGTGACCAGCACCGGCAGGTGTAGATAACAGTAGGAATTTCTTGAAATTGTCATCATTTTGGTATTTCGGTGACCCAACGTGAACTTGACTGTGGTGGACTAGAAAGAAAGGTGCAGCAGGTTTGTTGGTAGTGATAAGAACATGTAGTTCAGTCATCTGTGTGCTCTAATAAGGCCAGTGGTGCTTTTTTGTGGCTTGAGTTGGTATACCCAAGTATAGCACCTAGATCAAACTCTTTAAAAATTATGCTTGTGTAAGTTATTTTAATATACATTTTAATATTTAATCTATTATATATTATTGGGTGCTTCAGTTATTTATTTATTGCAAATGTATTAGACCACCACCCAGGGTAAGATTTATCCTACAGCTGCCATAAATTTACATTATTGGTAAACTATATATTTATTTGTGTTTCTGCAATGACACAGAAACACAAATATTGTGTTTCTGTTATTATTATTATAATAACACAATATAATAATATTGTGTTACTGTGTCATCTGCAATGACACAATAAATATATATACACCGGTATGGTGCACAACCCACCATATCGGTGGGTTGTGCATACCGGCACAACCCACCAGTATGTGCAAAATCACAAAATGTTAGTTTTAATGCTAAAATATAATTATTGTTGTTATCTGTGAATTTTCAAATGTGCTATTTTATAAAAAGGCAGTAGAAAGTAAAGCACTTTTTTTGGTTTAGGATGTGAAATTACAGTTATTTATTTGCATTCCTGAAGAGAAAAATTAGTTTTAGCAATTGAATGTTAGGTATCTATGGGTTAAAGTTAAAGCAAAGCAAGTCTGCTGTCTGTCTACAGAAGGCCTCTGTGAGCCTCGATCCTTCTAAGAATGCCGGGTTTGGTTTTTGTCCTTTTTTCTAATTCATATTTTCTGGAACTACAGATGTTTCTCAGTAATTTATGTGACAGCCATTAGCTTTAGTTTTCAGAGGCAGTTGCCCAAGTTCATAAAACTGCTCTAAAAGACTATAAAACTGTTTCAGTGGCAATAAATTGTGAATTGAGTGGTATTTCCCTCCACTAAACTATATGCACCACAAAGCCACAAATATTTGTATTAAATAATCACAACAGCAACAAACTTCTTCTTCTCTACTTTCATTTTCAAACTTTACATGCGTCCAGTGTCAGTGCATCATCCTGAATCCATCCAACTGAGATCCAAACGCACTGTGAGGCTCTCAATCGCAGAGACACTACAGAAAGGTGGCTTTCTGATCCCATTGGTCCACAGTGGTCCCATAATGGGGAAGACTGGGCAAAGTACAGTGGACTTGAACTCCCCTTCAGAGGTCAAACAAGCAGTTCCCTTTGAGGAGCTGGATCGTGTGGCGCCCCCTGCAGATAATAAGAAGAATGTGGAAGAGCCTCCCGACAGGGGAAGCTGGAAGGGCAAGTTTGATTTCCTCCTCTCATGTGTGGGATACGCCATCGGTTTAGGAAATGTGTGGAGGTTTCCCTATTTGTGTGGCAAGAATGGTGGAGGTAAGAGCTATGCAATTTATTAGAACTTCAGAGTTTTTCTAATTCCTGTATACAAGATCTTACCAAATATATTTTGTTTGTCTGTTTGATGTGTTTGTATCAGGGGCCTTCTTGATCCCATACTTTATGACACTGGTCTTTGCTGGGATACCGCTTTTCTTCCTGGAAACAGCTCTGGGACAGTTCACTTCAGTTGGAGGACTTGGGGTGTGGAGACTAATCCCTATGATGAAGGGTAATGTATAAAGAAAAATATGGATTTACATTTCATTGTGTACATTTAGAATTCACCCATGTATATTCTGAGTAAGGATTATGAGCATCGTAAAAGCTATATACATCAAAAAAGTTTAGTGACTGAACTTGTTCCCATTCTGTGAGACCTTAATTACCTGTATAGGAACTTCCAGTGTCTTCTTATTCTTTCCTGCTCCTTTCCATATTATTATTATTATTATTATTATTATTATTATTATTA